TCTTGAGCATGTGATCAGCTGGTTTTGGTTGTCAGCAGCAAAACTGGTTGATCCACTCTGAGAAGGTGCTATTTAAGAGACTGAGCTGAAAACAGCACCTCAGACTGAAGAAGTCTCTCGGACGAGAGACGAAACGTTTCTACATTTTTTGTTGTTTTGCTTTGTTTTGGTTTTTTTGAATGTCCAGAGGACCAGATATAACTTTTTTAGATAGAGACAAACGAGACAAACAACCATTCACTCTCTCACTCACACCTAGGGACAATTTAGAGTTACCAATTAGCCTAACATGCATGTTTTTGGTCTGTGGGAGGAAACCGGAGTACCCGGAGAAAACCCACGCATGCACGGAGAAAACATGCAAACTCCACCCAGAAGGCCCCTGGACCGGGGTTTGAACCAAGGACCTGCTTGCTGAGAGGCAGCAGCTCTACCAGTTGCGCCACCGTGCTGCACAAAAGTAGTTTATGATTGTTAATAAAAACTACACTTACACTGTGCCAATCACAAAGTGTTGGTATGTTTAGTTTAGAAATTCTTACAGCCTGTAAACCTGCTGTATATCCAGAGTGAACACGTTATCCCCCACTTTACGTTGTATTGCACTGAAACTGAAAGTGGTGTGGCTCCTCTGAGACACCACAGGGTGAGTGAGGTAGCCTGAGTCAGTGTAGGTGGTGTCTGTCTCTACTATGATTGTAGTAGACTATTTGGCCATTCCAAATGGCAAAAACATACAAATTTTACATCTCAATGAATTCTGAGTGTTTGCAGCCAAGCACCAGGCTACAAGAGGAGAAAAAAAGACACTGATATCAAGGCACAAAAGCTCCTCTTAACGTACAAAGGGTTTCACCTTAAGTCCAGAACCCGGACTGTACCCTGAGAGAATGAGGGGAGGCAGAGGACTAGTTCACATCAGAGCCACTATACAGAATGAAACAACTGAGAGCTGAACCCTAGTTCTGCTGCTGTAGGTTTAGACTGCTGGTGGTAACTTTAACCACATTTCCTCTCTCTGCTGCTGTCTTTACTTACTCTACTCTATCTTTTTGTATTTGTAATTATTTCTATTTTAGCATGTGTTTTTTGTCTTGTCTTTCCTCCTATAGAAAGTACATCTACCATTCTGTGTTTGTTTCTACTTCCTGTCCTCTCAAACCCAGCCAGTCACAGTAGATGGCTGCTCATCCTGAGCCTGGTTCTGCTGGAGGTTTCTTCCTGTTCCAATTGAGTGTTTCCTTTCCACTGTCTCTTTTGTGCTTGTGTAGTATGACATATCCTGAGATATATTCATACATTAAACGGGTTCACTCATCTTTCTGGACTGGATGATGTCGTGCTTTGAATTTAACAGAAATGTGGACGTGAGACGTTAATTATCTTTGACTCACCAAGCGAGTGGGTCATTTATTAACAGAATCAAGTTTAACACATCACACATTTACATTAATTTGGCAGAATATGAAAACAACAACATAATTAATCAGCTTTACAACCAGGAAAACCATACGGCCATGATTTTCCGTTGCTTCACCACAGACATTAATGAAAACATCTGGATTAATTTTCTAGTAGAAAGGAGAGTTTAAAGATGGAAATTTGAGATTTATCTTACAGAGAGATGTGTGAGGGAATTTGTCTGTTTTAACCAGAACGTGCACGCTCCTTCGGAAATCAGCTTGTCCCAACAGTACACTTTTGGTGAAGGTCGACTTTTACCTTTTCTGAAGATAGATCAGTTCCGGCGTGGAGTCTCACTTCCAACCACTGTTCAGCGTCTCAGTGAGAACAGCTAAATACCTCGAGAGCCGTGCGAGGTTATCCAAACAGAAGTTATAATTCCCAAAATCATCTCTGGTTCAGCTTGATTGGTTTAGCAGCATCCATGAATGCCTGCGTTTTGCATTCAGGTACTCCCAAACTCTCTGCATTCTGGATTCCAAGAACTCTGAACTCTTCTGCTCCCTGAACTCTTCTTGAACTGGGAAGTTGCCACATTTAAATGGGCTCTACTTCCGGTTCATTTGAGAGCTTTTTGATTGGTGGATGGACCAAAGCAGAGGTGTGGTTTGTGATGTAAGGTGTTATTAAAAGTCAAGGAAAAGATTCAAATTGTTTAAGAACAGACAGAAAGATATCATGGCTAAACCAGACTTTGTGGAGCCACCTCTCCTGTATCTCGCTGTAAAAGTTAAACATGACATTTCTTTTCAGTAAACTTTCTAGTTGACCGAAGCTTGAACTTTAACACACTTACAACTTTGCTCATTGAAGACAGAAAAATCAAGAAATGCATATTAACCTGATTTCTTCTTTGAATGAGGATTAAGGATCATTATTTACTGTTTCACAGTTAATAAAAATGAGTAGTTCACTTCAACATGTAAACATTGTTTGAACTAACACAATTTGATTATCAAAACATTTGTAAAATAGTAATGATCATAGAGAATTGTCTTTTCCACTTGATTAATTCAAGAAAGAAAGTCTCAGGATGGGTCAAACTGTATTTCTGGATGCAAATCAATGAAATGACAGTTTCTGACCATATGATCCTAAGGTCATTGATTTGACATCAGGTCAAGTTCACTACACTTGTACGGGTTGGGAGACTGTGATGAAGTGAAGATCCAACACAATCAGCTGCTTCCTTAGATAGAAAACTTTTACTAATTGATTTTTATAAAGTATGTGAATGTTTTAGTTCAGTGCCCTGAGACAACTTCTGTTGTGACTTAGAGCTACAGAAATAAACTGAAGATCCTGGAATACATGAGGATGAAAACCCACAATGATGAACTTCTCAATGAATGTCTCTGGCAGCAGAAATCCAACTTGGAAGTACTTGGACTTCATTTCTGTCATTGAAGATGTTCACTTGTCATCCAAGGACCTTTTCTATTAAAGCAAAAAGTGAGTTCCAGGAGTTTAAATGCAGTGAGAACCGTTAATGACCTCACAACATATAAAAGCCTTGAACTCCACACATCTTTAAACTGAAAAACCTCCTCAGAAGAGAAGAAAATCCTCTTCAACTAAATAAATAAAGTCCATTTGTATTGTTATTGAAACTTACAATTTGCCATGTCCTTGATAACTGAGAATCTAAACAAATATATAATCTATAATTTTGTTTTCATTTGCGAAATACAATTGGATGAACTTCTTAAAATGTGTTGTTTAGCCACTTTTGCCAAAAAGAACAGCTAATCCTGAGATGAAATGAAAGTTAGCTTTATGATGCACAAATGTAACTTCTAGTCTGTTTGCTTCATGGCTGTACAGAAAGTGAGAAAACAGCACGTTTCACACAGTGTGCTCATATCTTTACCTGGTAGCCCTGGATGACACCATTGTGGCTTTCATGAGGAGGTGGTTCCCAGCTCAAACAGATGCTGTTTTTCTGCTTATAGTTGACTGTAACAAACACAGCTTGAGGAGGAGCTCCGGGCACTGCAAAGACATTAAATCCATACTAAGGCTGATGCTAAATTGATCAAAATACGTCTTAAAGGAAAAAACACTGATGTTCCCAGACACAGCCCTCCTCACCTTTCTCAGGGACTCGGAGGAGCTGAGTATTGCTCTCCCTTCCATATAAATTGCTGCCATATGGTCGGACCTTGAACTCGTACCTGTAGCCTCTCTTCAGTGGACCGACCTGAGCCTGGAACCTGGGCAGTGCCACCTTCTTTGCTGTCCAGTCTGAGATGATGGGCAGAAGAGAGCGATACAGGACCTCAAAGCCAGTGAGATAATGTGGCTGGTTTGGGAAGGACTGAAGCTGGTCACAAAGGAAACACAACTTACATCAGACGCCTGATATATTCAACAGCTTTTGGAAATACTCAGAATCACTGTTCCTGTACCTTCCACTGTATCAGAGAAATGTTGGATCCAGTGGTCATGATAGAGACGTTCTCCAGAACCACTCGGAGGGCTGACAGCTCTTTGTGGAAGTCTTTCTGTTCTTCGCTGGCAGCCTCTATAAAATAAATTATTTTATTTAATCAAACTTGAAACACATTTTAAAGACTAGTTTAGTGTTTGCTCTCAATCATTTTTCTTTCTTTTTTTTTTTCAAAATGAAACGAGAAAAATCCTCCACTGGACTCTAGACCGTCAGTTTACAGACATAAAGTGTGTCTTTGGGGGGGGG